CTTAAAAAAAAAACGGTGCGGTTCGGTTGAGTGTTTTGAACTACTTAGAAAAATCGTGTACTGATTCAAGAACCGGTTCATGGGTACTCCCTAACCGAAACGTTTTAAAATATCAATACACTTAGGTCTCTTTTTATGCGGTTCATGCGTTCCTCAGAGAGCCGCATAAAAAAAATCCGCATAAAAAAGTTCTTTACTTTCATACAAAAACAGGTGATGCGTTCCAACATTTTCAAAAACCGCATAAATTCAGATAAAAAATTCTAAAAACCCGCATAAAAAATCCAGTGAGGCATTATTGAGCAAAAAAAACTATTTATTTCTTCACTTCAACACTTATTATAATAAAAATAACACTTATTATATAAAATATATAAATTGTATCTTATTTATATATAAATACATGAATTATGTAAGAATACATAAAAAAAAAATTTAGAAAAAAAAGGTTTTTTCTTAACAGCCGTCGCCCCTCGGCAGGCAATGGCAAACCTCCGAGTGTATTTCAGCCATGAAAAACAGCTTCTCATAAAAATACAATCGCCGTTCGGAGTCGGCGTAAAACTGTAGGTCCCTCCCCCTTGGTGTGACAACATCATGGGGCACACCACAAATTGTAGGAGAAGCTCGGCCAAATACTAACATATGTGTAAGCGCCAATCCATTATTATTATTATTATGTAAGAATACAAAGACAAATTATTTATCAGAAGCATTGTCTTTTACACACTGAAAAAAGTAATAAAAACTTTCAAAAAAGCAAAATTGCTACTGCAAAATAATGGTTTGAAAACCCGCATAAATTCAAATCCGCATAAAAAAAAAATCCGTTTAAAAAGAGACCTAGGTGTATTTTTCAAAAAGCCATACACTTAGAAAAATTAGGTGCTATTTGAAATAAAAATAGCACCGTTTAAGCCAAATCGGCAGGCCTGTTACCTACACATTCATCGATTCATAACATCATACAGCTCTATAAGTCACGTCACTCTTCCTCTTGCCCTTTTTCTGGCAGGCTCTTGGTTTGTTTTTGTTAGTGTGTTGGTGTTTTTGGTTCAGTGTAATGGTGTATTTAAAATAAATTGTAAGAGAAATGGAAGAAACTGTAAAAGATAAAAGCAAATTCCGAAAAGGTGATCTCAACTGTATGTATTTCAACGTATCTCGTCATTTGATAATTAGTTTATGACATCAAAATGCGGTGTGAGCACGTGAACTGTGGCAATATATGTATACAGCAGTAAACTACAGAAGATGAAATTTATTCGCAAATGTCTGCACATAAGCAGCGTAAATGAGCATTTAATTATGCCCAAAGTACACATAAAATACATTAGGAAATGTAATAAATGGAGACTAGTATAGGGGGAATAGTGGAAGGCAGAGCAGCGAGCGCAAGTATGAAATCAAGTTGAGAAGAACATCTTCTTCAGGCATTGAAGCATAGGAGAATTGGCGTGGTTCGTTATATAAATAATTTGTTAGTTTTCTTACTGTATACAGGTAGCATTAGAAGACATGCATTTGAAGAGAAAGTAAACTACTAATAGATATCGCAAATAGTTAGGCCTTAGAATATTTTAGAGGTGTCATCCTTTTTACTCGACCCAAAAACTACTGCGCTTTAAAAACTAAGTATATAGCATCTGAAAAAAATTCCTTCCACGTATTTTGCCGTTTTACTGCCGAAAAATTAAAAGTTCGGAACACAATTCTCTGGCGGCCATAGCCGCAGATTCAAAGTTTGTTTTCTCGCTTTTTTGCAGAAGTGTTCATGTCGAAGATACATAACCTCCATAGGATTTTTAATAATATTTAAGGTCAGCATACCCCATATACAGACAAATATAACTATGGAACTAAGAATAAATTCACCTTTAAAATAACAAAAGCAAGTGTAACTCATTTCGCATTTCCTTTCTTTAATCTATTTAGGGGTTGCTATTTATTCACATAAACTATGCGTTTGCTTACATACATATAAATACTCCGAAGAATTCTCAGAACTACAAACTCAAACTGTATATTTTAGGAGGAGTAGATGATGTGCCAACATTACCACAACCATAAGTTCAGTTTCTTCAGTAACTCTTCAAGTGCTTGCCGACATAAATGTACCGATATTTGCAATTTTGTGCAGCAATTTCCATTTATATTGAATACTATACATAGCTAAGTACATAAATAAGTATGATATACAGAAGTTTACATTTACATTTGTACACACACCTACTTCCTCGGCGTCAGTCAACAGTTTAGACCCATTTCCTATTTACATTTCCTTTCAGTACATAAGTATTTGCAGCCTTCTATTTGGTCATCAGAACTTCTACCAGCTCGCAACCAACAACAACTACATTCATATATATTTATATAAAGAGACGTTGTCCGTCTGCTTCCTCTCTTCTGCCACTATCTCGTCGGTACATACATATATGCATATATCTAGAGCTTTCTTCGAGTTTATGGATAGTTTCACGCTTGCGTTATTTCCATAAAAGTGGTTTTTCCTTAGAGAACACACATGCACGCACACGCACACACACACACACACATTTGAACCACATTAGGCGTATCGAGTGCTTTCATTTCAAACATTTCATAAACTTCAATCTGTGGCGCATCAGCATCGCCAGAGCAACTGTCAAATGGAAGGCGTTATGCTGCGAAAGTTGAGCTGCTTCCGCTCGAGTTCATTTCGCAAACGCAGTTAAGATTGTCGCAAATCTGATATCATTCTGAGTCATACTCCTTCACGAATGTGTGAAGTACTTTTGCATAAATGCTTACAGTTGGATATTTTGTGAATGTGAATGTGAATGTGAATGTGAATGTGAATGTGCGCATGTGAGATACTTAAGTACACACGTACAGCAGCAACAACACTGTTGTAACCTCAAAATAGTTTTGGGCGTGAAAAGCGTACTTGGAAAGTTCTTGTTGAACTTGTCTGACCTTCTTAACTGCCTACAATCTGCTGGCGACTATTGCCACATTTTAGGCATTGTATACTTTCTGGCTGAAGGGAGATTCTGTTGTAAGTAGATGTTGTTTAGTTACTTACGTAGCATAAATATTATATTTCTTTATGTAATTCCAATTTCTATAGTTAAATACTGAAGTTGAGGAAAATGTATGTAGCTGCTTGTATCTCTGCCTCAAATCTACATTGAAATTAAAAGCATACCTTCAGGCGTCAATACTGGCATTCAAGTTCATTCATTGAATTCATTACTGTACACATATGTTCATATGTATGTAAAATACATTGTGCTTAATTGAGCCACCTAAACAGATCAGAAGGCATTTGTGTGTGTTTGTGCATGACTTTAGATATTGCCTTAGTAAACATCGACGCAAGTAATTGTGTTCAAGATGTGAATAAGTGTGTCTAATTTCAGGCATAATTTAATAATCCTTCATTGAATGGAGGCCTACAGATATTGATTGATAGATTAAGTTTGCCTCTTTGTTAAGAGTATGCCTTGCATTACAACTATCGTAATCAGTAACAAGTTAATAAGTTAATTTACTAATTGCATAAAAGCATGTTCACATTAACGTAATTTACGGCTCGTTTGTAATTTATAAGCACATAGAAATGAGATAATTTATCATGAATCAAGAATCAAATGAAGAAAAAAGCTTCTTCATTATTTTAGCCTCGCTTTTCCAAAACTTCACTTTTTTAATGAAAATTCGGGTTTTTAAATTGCTATAAAAATATATGCAACATTTTTAACCACCAAGCGTAATACTCAAATAAGAAAATTATCTATTCTACTATTATTATATGTAAATGTTAAAGTTTGTGAGTGAGTGTTTGATTATGCTTGTTACTCTTTCATGCTAAAATGGCTAGACGTATTTCAATGAAATTTGGCACACAAATAGATTGTAGCTTAGATTAACGTATAGAACATTTTTTGAACAAAGTTGCCACCTTCTTCAAAACTTAGACTTAATCAGTTAGCAATTTAAATAAAATATAAAAACAGTGTCGATGTAAACGAAAAGGGTTCAAGAACGATTTCAAAAGATAAAATCAATTTAGTTAAAGAGTTAAGCGAAATATTTTAAAATGGGCATAAAACGAGAGAGATTTAGGAAAGCTTTATTTCAAAAATATTTTCGAAAGGAGCTGCCACCTGTTTAGAAATTCCATATCAATTTAGTTAGCAAGTTACATCAAATATTTTAATTTTGGGTATTAATAGAGAAAACTTCTACGAAAGTTACAAATTGTTTTGAAATTATTTTTGATGAGGTTGCCACCAGTTCAAGAATTTTATTGACAAGTTAAATCATTTCTCACTAATAGTATAAATATAAAAGTTTCTGAGTGACTTTGTGCATTATGGGTGGCAAAGAACTGAGGTTTAAGAAAGCTTATAATATTTTTCAGAGGGTTGCCACATCTTTAAAAGCAACAACCCATGCTCACATAAGTTAAATAAAGTATAAGGTATAAGTAACTATAGCTTGGAAAATATTTTTAAAACAGGCTTGCCACCTGTTAAAAATTCAAACTAAATTGAATCATTAAATTAAGTGAAGCATTACAAAAAGAGGTCAAGTCAGACAGATAACGCTTAAATAGACTTTAATTCGAAAACATTTTTAAAAGTGGTAAGCTTCTGTTAAAAAAAGTCGAATTATATTTAATTAGTTATTTTAAAATTTAATTTCATTAAAGTGAACATTTGCAAAATGGAATTTCTTCGGTCTTTTTTTAATTCAGAAACATTTTTTTTAAATACTTAAAAAAATAGCCACCCAATAAAAATTAAAAAAAAAATAAACGTACCTATTTATGTACATATATGTTTTATATAGTGACTAGCTACGAAGTTTAAGTTGTTTTTTATGATGAATTGGACAATTTAGTTGAAATTCGACACAACGACCATGTTTGGGAGCCTCGAGACAATAGCTATTATAAATTTGTCTATCTAATGTGTCACTAAATTCATTTGTTCTTTATTTTTTTTTTTTTGCAGACCGTTGAAGATCTCGAAAATCGTTGCATGGAGGCTGGCGTCGAAATCGTCACAAGACAATCATTTCTATCCGATCCAACAGATGCGGTACGCAACCTACGCCGACAAGATGCACGCATCATAGTCGGTCTCTTCTATGTGGTGGCGGCGAGGCGTGTACTTTGTGAAATGTATAAACAGCAGTTGTATGGGCGTGCGCATGTGTGGTTTTTTATAGGTGAGTAAAAGTGGATTTTGTGATAGTCGAGGTTTAAAAGTGTAGGCAGGCTTTGTTCAAATTTATTGAAAAATTTTATAGATTATTTTTTAGTCTTGCATTTTTCGGTTTGGGCGCGAAGATCTTTGAAATCGCTAACTACTGAAACTCCTAGCAAGTTTTAGACCGGTAATTATCTAAAACACAAACTACAGTGACGAGCAAACAAATAGGGAAGCGACATTTTGACAATTTTTTGTTCATTTCATTTTTACTTATTTTTTTTATGAACCACGTCTGTAAGTCCGAATTCCAATCTTGTTTACAAAAAGGAAAATTCGACAAAGTTTCATAAAAACTTCGAGCTTTTTAATCTGAATTTTTCGCAAAATTCTTATATGCAACCCACACAATATTTGATACCTACCGTTGACTTTTGGCAATTTTTTTTTTTTTTGCAAAACACTGTTAGGAAACAAAAATTGTCAAAAATCAAGGTAAGCCCAGCTACTTGAAAATTGCGCTTTATTAAAATTTTTGCACTTTATAATTGTTTCTTTTAATTTAGTAAGCTACAAAACTGCATACCTAAATTTTGTACTTTAATTCAGCATAAAAGGTTTGGAAATTTCGAGAATAACGGGTGATTTTTTTGAGGTTAGGATTTTCATGCATTAGTAT